GGGCACCCTCTCCCCTCGGCTGCTGGAGTCCAGGGGGCCAGGCGGAGGAAGTGGGGAGCTTGCTCTCTGCCAGCCTGCCCTCCTCTGCTCCTGCCCCACGTGATGCAGCACCGGAAGCCAGCCTGGTGCTGGCTCCACACCTTCGGACTTCCAGTCGTCGGAATCGGGACCCAATAAATCTTAATAAATTCCAATTTCTACTTGACCGTGGAATGATAAACCAGTCCTAAAACCTTTTAAATTGTACTTTAGAATCCAGCCACTGAATCATGTACCAAATAAAACCAAAAAATCATGAAACAGGGTCCAGAAAGTGGTTACTGTGCTGGACTCCCACATAGCTGGCCATGGTTCCAGTCCCAGACCCGGTGGCTTAAAACTCATGCCGGGCACATGTACACACGTGCCCAAGATCCCAAGAGGAGAATGGGTTGCTGCGTGACCATCCCCCCAGGGGGTGATTTCCCGCTTTCTCTCTGGCAAGCACACGCGCCCTATAGCAAAAGTCTCTCTAGAAAAACAAAAGGAAAGAAAGAAAGAAAAACTCATGTTAGGCGCAAGTGCACGCGTGCCCCAGACCCCTAGAGAAGAGGAGAGATTGCGTCGCGGTGTGGCCATCCCCGGGGCGATTTCTCACTTTCTTCCTTTTGTCTCACCCAGGCTCAGTGTTTCTGCTTAAGAACACTGGGTGGACAGACTGCTTTTCCCCATTTTCCCAAAATCCTGTCCAGAGGGCCTGGAGGGAGTCACGCCCGCGAGTGTAGACAGGCCGTTGGTAACGGGTCCCTCCTACACCCTGCCGCATAGCAGTGGAGTATCTCTGTGATGTATGTTAGGCCTCCACCTGGCTGTTAGAGTCCATTCCCTTCTGATCTCAGCAGTCCTCTTCTGGGGCCCGCAGATGTTGTGGTGGTTAAGTGCACGGGACTCCCACATGGTCGACTGCGGTACGAGTCCCTGACCTGGCGGCTTGTTTTCTCACTTTCCCTCTCTCACTCTGCCCCTTCCTGGTTACATTAAAATTAAAAAAAAATTAAGCAAAATAATTCCTTAAACAAAACAAAAATCTTCCTTTTCCAATCACCATCCTAAAAACTGTAGACCCCACCTATAGCCCCTGTCCCGTCTTTTGGGGCCAGATTAGTGGAAATTGTCACTGAATTCCAAAATCTGTCTTTTGCTGTCAAAAAAAACAAATAAAAGAGACCCCTGTACCTGGTCACCCCGAAAGAAAGGCATGTTTGCCTCCTCTCCAGCTAGGTCACTCATATTCTGCTTAGAAATAAACTGCACTGGGGCCAGCAGGTTGCATGGTGGTTAAGGCAGCTGGACTTCCACACGAGTGACCGCGATTCGAGTCCCAGACCTGGCAGCTTGCTTTCTCACTTTCCTTCTCTCTCTGTCTCTGATCAACTTCAGTAAAATAAAATAAAATAATGAGGATGAATAAAATTAAATAAAAATAATTCTTAAAGAACATAGGGCCAGCCGGTGGCGTGGTGGTTAAGGCGCCAGGACTCCCACACGGCTACTGCGGTTCAAGTTCTGGACCTGGCAGCCTGCTTTCTCACTTTCCTTCTTGCTCTCTGTCTCTCTCTGGTCAACTTCAAAAAAATAAAAACAAGGGAACCAGCAGTTAGCGTAATGGCTATGTCGCTGGATTCCCACGTAGTCGACCATGGTTCGCGTCCTGGACCTGGTGGCTTAAAACTCACGCCGGGCGCGTGTGCGTGCGTGCCCAAGATCCCGAGAGGAGAATGGAGGAGAAGGGATTGCGGCGTGGCCATCCCCCCTGGGGGGTGATTTCTCGCTTTCTGTCTCTCTGTCTCTCTCTGTCTGTCTGGTGAGCGCAAGCGCCCTATAGCAAAAACCTCTCCAAAAAAACAAAAATAATAAAATAAAAATAAATAAAAACAATAAGCAATGACAATGAATAAAATTGAAAAAAAGAAACAAGCTGCACTAATTATTATTTTCACAGAGTTGGTTATTCTCTGTGGACACCAGAAATAAGCCAAGACAGTACCAAGGGCCACTAGGGCTTACTTTAAAGGGGTAATTTCTAGAGACTGCTGCGTGAGGTGGATCGAGGGTAAGAAACGCAGAAGCAGGTCAGACCAAAAGCGACGTGGAGTTGTCTGGACGGGGCGGCTCAGGGACAAACACCCAGCTGGTGCCGCTCTGCCGTGACTTCCGGTCTAGACTTCCATCAGTGACTGTGTAGGTCTGCTACTGGGCAAGTCTTAAAAATAACTAAATAAGGGAACCAGCAGTTGGCGTAATGGCTATGTCGCTGGACTCCCATGTAGTCAACCGCGGTTCGCATTCTGGACCTGGTGGCTTAAAACTCACACTGGGCGCATGTGCGCGCGTGCCCAAGATCCCAAGAGGAGAATGGAGGAGAAGGGATTGCGGCGTGACCATCCCCCCAGGGGGTGATTTCTCGCTTTCTGTCTCTATGTCTCTCTCTGTCTGGTGAGCGCACGTGCCCTATAGTGAAAATCTCTCAAAAAAAAAAAAAAAAAAACTAAATAAAAAGGGACCAGCAGATGGTGTAGCAGTTATGTCGCTGGGCTCCCACGGAGGCAACCAATGGTTCAAGTCCTGGACCCGGCAGCTTAAAACTCAGACCAGATACGTGCGAATGCGTGCTTGAAATCCTGAGAGGAGGATGGAGGAGAAGGGGTTGTGGGTGATTTCTCACTCTCTGTCTCTTTGGTGAGCTCACACGCTCTATAGCAAAAATCGCCTCCCCCCCAAAAAAAGGAGTGAGGGAACCAGCAGTTAGCGTAATGGCTATGTCGCTGGACTCCCATGTAGTCAACCGTGGTTCGTGTCCCGGACCCGGTGGCTTAAAACTCACGCCGGGCGCGTGTGCGTGCGTGCCCAAGATCCCGAGAGGAGAATGGAGGAGAAGGGATTGCAGCGTGACCATCCCCGCTGGGGGGTGATTTCTCGCTTTCTGTCTCTATGTCTCTCTCTGTCTGTCTGGCGAGTGCACGCGCCCTATAGTGAAAAAAAAAAAACTCTCAAGAGAACTGAGGCCCCTTCTACTCGTCCCCTTGTGCTTCATCTACAAGCCACGCCCCTGGGCACGGGACCCTCCCTAGAGTTCTAGCATCTCCGAGGCGTCCCACAGAGGGGAGGGGACCAGAGTGGTGCACCCCCAGCTGCCCCGCCCCGCAGGAAGCCTTTCGGAAGCATCTCAATGGCTTCCTTGCCCTGCAGAGCAGTGGGGCCTCTGCTGCCTAGTTCTCTGGGCACTTCCCTACGTGAGCCGGGGCCCTGGCCCTGAGGAAGGCGGCAGACACAGCCCGGCCCTCCCTAACCTGGCATGCAGACCCCGTGTGCTCTGCCGCCATTAGCAGGACCATAGCACCAGGGTCTTGGGGGCCAGGCCTACTGAGCACCTGGAGTGGCCTGACATCCCGCAGTGGTGGGGAAGGGGTGCGGATGTGACAGCAACAACAGCGACAACAATAAAGGGGGGGAGGACAAAGTTCGTGCGAAGCCGCAGCGGGCGGTTGGCAGCCGGGCCTGGCTCTGTGTGGGATGGAGTCCTGCTTCTGTAGTCACGTGCCCACGCTGCGCTGGCCTGAGGGTCCCCACTGCAGGTGGCTTTGCGGCGTTCTTGGAGAGTAGCATCCCACAGCCTCCTTTCCGTCAGAGTCTGCGGACCCAGGGAGAGTTCGGTACACTGACACTCACAAGGCAGGTCGGCGGGGTGTCTTCAACAGCTCATTCTTCACTGTCAGCGTTTCCACTGCACAAGACACGTCGCAGGGCAGTCTTAAAATCCTGATACCGGGAACCAGCAGTTGGCGTAATGGCTATGTGGCTGGACTCGCACGTAGTCGACCGCAGTTCGTGTCCTGGACCCGGTGGCTTAAACTCACGCGGGGCGCGTGTGCGTGCGTGCCCAAGATCCCGAGAGGAGAATGGAGGAGAAGGGATTGCGGCGTGACCATCCCC